TAATTTTAAAGACATAAAAATTTCTCTTTTTTTTATTCATCGCAATATTTTCAATATTACGAAAATTAATATAATAACTATTAATTATAGAAAAATAATCAATGCAAATGATTAATTTATTGCAAATGTATTGTTAACATAAGAATGTTAAAGTAAATAACGTAGTTATTCATTCACTTAATGGTTGTTGAAAATATTTTAAAACAGTTAATAAATGTTTACATATTCTGTTAATCGTTTCCGATTAAAAAAAAATTTATTATCGTTATCATGACATACAGTGTATTATTTAAATTAATTATTCAAGTCAAATTAAAAATCATTTTATAGCATCTTTTACATATAACTTAAAATAATTATAACAGTTATAATAATAAAATTAATTATTCATTTAAAGTAAATATGAAAATTAATAATTTTCAGTTTTTATTCGATTCCAATAGATGCATTAATTTTTTAATTTTATTATTATTTTATTTAATAAGCTTGATTAATACGTGAAATTTTATTAGAAGTTAATATTTATTATTTATAAATCTAATATTTCAAAGTGAATTATATTATCTCTCATTGCAATTTAAACTTTATATGGGAGTAACAGAATTACGTAATTGATTTACATTATATATAATTTTTTTTTCGTTTTCGACTTTTCGTTTAATTTTATAATATATTGAAACATACGTTTTTCATATGCTTAACGTAATTATATTTATAATCAATAGTATTTTCATTTAAATACAATTTTGAATACTATCTATATTCTAGAAAATTACAATGATAAATAAAAAAAAACAAAACAACAAAGGATCTTTATAATATCCGAGGATAAGAAGCGTAATATAAAAAATTAAGGCCAACTTATGAATTTGATTGCATAAATCTAGATAATTGATATTTTTCATATTAATTTTTGTCATTGAATCAAATAGAATAGTAAATAATCTTTGTTTAAATCAATTACTTGGCAATTGTTTAATTTATAAAATTTTAAGAAAGTTTTGCAATCATATGAAATAATTAAAACGAATAAAAAGTTTTTCTTTAATGTTAAAAAGTTCTTAAATTTTGTATTCATTACATATTACAAATTTGCAATAATTTAATCATGTAATTAATTTAAATATTTTATATCCATATGAAATGTGAAATTCTTAATTAATTTTTCAAGTACTACAAATTTAATTACTAATAAAATTATAATTATATTTATTTTAAAATTTTTGCAATTTAAAATGTTAATCTGTACACGTTATCTATACATTTCTCTTCATCATCATCTAAATTGCAATTTTTCTAGTTTAATATTACCAATTGAAAGTTCTTGAAGTTTTGCATTTGTAAGATTTTATTTATGGGTACATTGTATTTTTCAAGTCGTTTTTAAATTTCGTAATTCAAATTTACTTATAGCAAATAATTGTAACCTTTTCCAATAAAGCAAAAATAATATAAATAAATGTTGTATCAAGTATAACTATAAGCAAGAATTTGACAATAATTTGAGATGTAAATAATCAACAATCAGTGCTTATATCTTTATAACTAAACTCTTATTTTTCATTTTAATCTATAAGTAAAAAATTATATAACGAATAAATAATATATATTTGATAAAAAAAAAAAAGTATCTAAATAATCCAATTATAGCTAGTAAAATTGTATATTAATATTTTATTTAAAAATTTACAATTATTAATTTACGTATCTATAATACTATTGCTACTTTTTAAAAAATCAAAATACAAAATATATTGTAATCATATATTTACTTATTAATTATCCTGTAGCTTTCATTCATAATGTAAAACTCACTGTAATCAATTCCATAACAATAAAGTAATGAAAGTTCTCGAATATAGCCATATAACATTGATTTACGATTACTCTTGATTATTATTTCAATTTAATGAACCATTTGAATGAAAATTTAAATTTATATACTTTTATATTCTTAACAAACATTTTTTAATTCATCCTTTAGTCAAGTAAACTTTCATACGCCCACGTGCAAAACGCTAAATAAATATGAACATTACAATGTTTTACTAGTTCATAAAACTACTGTTATCTTTCGATTTCAAAATATTACACGAAATCGGTTATTTATAAACGGAAACTGGCACTATTATAATACACTGTACAATAACTTTTTTTCGAATTTTCATTCGAATTATTTTTATAATCGGTAACATCTTAATTTTTATATACTTCTGATTTGGATGCGTCATATTTTGAAAACATATAATTTGCATTTGTTTTAGCCATATGATCGATGCAAATTCTTGTATAAACTAAGGTAAAACTAAATAAAAAAATATATGCAAGATTTTTGGCTTTATGATAATTTAACATAAATTATATAACAAAATTTATAAAACTTAGATCGAAAAGTTGAGAAGCATTTCCTTAATAAAATTCAGTTCCTATGTAATAATCTGGATGTCAAGTTTAATTATTTATTTAATCACTTACCATTGTACTTATTCTGTGTATGAATTAATAAGTGTTTTCCTTTATATTTGGTAAGTAGAGAGTTTTTTGTCATTTAACTAATTGACTGATTCAACAATATTGTAATATTTAGTTAAATTAACAATATTAAGAACTTATAACATTATAAAATAAAATAGTTCGGTGCGTCATAAATAATTATATGAAACTAGAGAAAAACAAAAAAAAATCAATATACATTATGTCAACCTTACGCGAACAAAATTTATGTAATTTTACATTGAAATAAATCGAATGTTAAGATTTTAATTTTTCAGCCAACGGTATATGAACTTCAAAAATCATTATTTAATAATTTATGTAATATTTGAAATATATTATTGTAATTTTTTCCATAATTCTGCTAACTAACTAAAATGTAAAGAAATTTAAAGTCACTGATGCTTCTATTACTACAAAATTTCCAATAAATTTTAACACATTGCATATTATTTAATAAAGATAACGCTTTTCAATTATAATATTAATCAACAATATTTGTTTATTTGCAACTTAGTAAAGCTTCATGAAAAAAGAATTTCTATTTAATATGTAATTAAGTAATTTTTGTAACGTGTAAATTAATTTTTTGATTCAAATAATTATCAATTCACCAGAGCAGAATGTCATTTTACACGTTTGTATTTTACTTTGTGTGTGTGCGCACGCGCGTGCGTGCGTGCGTGCGTGCGTGCATGTATGTGTGCGTGCGTGCATGTATGTGCGCGTGCGTGCGTGCGTGCGTGCGTGTGTGTATGTGCGTGTGTAATATGTGTATTACAGCAAAAACATATTTAAAATTAAATAAACTCAAATTGTAATAATTTATAATACTTATTTATATTACTAGTTTTAAAAAGAAATATTTAACAAATATTATTAACGACACTTATTTTTTTTTTTTTTTTTAAAAAAGGTTTTTTTTTTATACTGAGTAAAAATATTTCAAGTACAAAGTAAAATAATGAGTTATTTAATTTTTTTAATTAAATATAGTCAGATTTTTTATGTACAAATGTCCTGCAGCCTAGACTAGGAATCTTTCATTCAACCATTTGAGAAACACTGCTTGCAATAATATAGCGAGTTACGTATTGCAAGAACATAAATAAAAAGAACCAATAAATTTTTAAACCGTACATTATGATTTACAATTTTTATTTTTTAGATAAGGCACCTGCTATAAATACTACTAATTGACAATATTTATAGCAATATTTCGAATAATACTAAAGAAAATAGATAAAAAACATTTTTTTCGAAATAATAAATTAAAATATTGTTGTCATTTATCGAATAATTTGTTAATATAACGAGTTCGTTTTATTAGAGTGAAGAATATTGCGATATTTTTAGCCAACAGCATGGGGTCTGTCCCTTTGTATGATTTAAAAATAGCTTCGGCTAAGGCCAATCCCGTTCCAATTATTCAATTAAGGTATTTAGGTGACGATCGGTTGAACGTTAATTCAGAAAAATTCCATGCCCCTACACAGCTCCCTTGCCTCCTCATAAGAAATATAAGCCAATGTAATATCATGTTTAAACTATGCTAAAATAGTATTAAAAATGAATGAAAATGCCTATTCCATTGGTTTGATTTCGAAGAAAATTGAATAATTGCGAAAGATATGGTTACCTATATCGTTAACACATTTAATAATCAAATTTCACAATATATACTCAACGAAAGATGATTCTTATAAACTTATCTTCTAAAATCAATGTGCATAATAATAATTAATAATAGTGGTAGTGAGATTTACTAAGGAATAAGCAAAAAACAATATAAAATGTCAGCCGTACATTTTCACATTTACTTAGTCATCTACTTAGACATCTACTTGAAAGATATAATGTTTCTTTCGCGTGTTAGTTTTACATTTATGCTCGTGCGAAGTTAAAAAATAAAGATATTGCTGCATTATTATAAAATTGTTATAATATTACTATGAAACGATAGCATTGATAATATTAGGGGGCTTTATGATGGATTTTGCAATATTAACATACAATTCACGGTAATGATAGATGTAGTCGCAAAATATGAATGAAGAATTTCTGCCAATTAAGTTTCCGAATTTTAATATTGAATTACTGAAAGCTGAAAATGGCGTAGAACTTCTACTATCTAAAGTTTCAATAAACGCTAAGACACCATAATTTACAATCCTTACTCCGATCGTTCATCGAATTGGACAATAAGAAACTGCAAATTTTCCCCCCTTTTTTTCTCTTTATTTTTATTTTCATTGGTTTTGATTGTTTTTCTTCTTATCAAAGCTCATATCGCCCACTTATCAATGCCATTAGCCCAGAATGGACCAAGTAAAAAATGAAAATAATCGAAACATTGTTTTCAATAATAATGGGTTATAAAGTTAGCACATAAAGCGCAGTAATTAATTGCGCCTTGTAAAAATAAAAAAAAAAGAAAAAGAAAAAAAAAAGAAAAAGATTGTTGAATAATGACCGAGCGTAATCGCAGGTACAAAATAGACAGTCGCAAATGCGAATAATCGACCTTGGTCGTTGTGACCATTAAGCTACGACGGACAGCGGCTGCTGAGTCGTCTTAAGGGGCCACGAAGGCGTTTCGAGGCAGGCGCGCCTGAGCGCAGGTAACCCGATTAACTCGTCTGTGCTTGTGTTTGACAGGAATATAGGCGACATGCGGCTGCAGCATAAGAGCGGCCCGGGTCTCGGAGTTAACCAGCATCAGCATCAGCATCAGCATCAGCATCCACAGCAACCGGACGACGTTCACCGACTACGGTTCCAGGACAATCGATTCCTCACGACTCTCGTCCTTGGCAGAAACAGGTACGGCCCACGAGGAGCTTCCACTCCAAGGCGCGATTAACGACATTCAAGCTCGCTTGTGCGTGTGTGCGCGTATGTGTACCGAAAAATTTAAAAAAGAAAAAAGAAAAAAACGAGCGCAAGGATAACGCTGCGTTAACCCATTTTCTACTCTCGCCCGGCAATTATACTCTAATACGGACAGGAAACGGTAACTAGAGTGGAAAATTGATTCTAATAGAGATCCACTGCCAATGGATTGGAAAACTGGGGGCGGCTTGTTAAAATACGTTAGCGGACGAGCTTTGCTGGATAGAAAATATACCTTTTGCATCTTGATTGTCGATAGATAAGTTTCGCGATAATGGGCCGATTGCATTTTATAATCTAGGTGATTGATAGATTAACTCAAGATCGATAAAATATTGCTGTATTTATCTTTCCGCGTTGTACTTAATATATTAAGTAATTGAATTCCAATAGTGTGAGCCTTCGATCTCATTGACGCTACCTAGAGTCATGTAGACAAATTTTAACTGAAATTGGCCTTATCGATTGGCAAGTGCCGATGATTAAAAACAAAAACAAAACGAAAAAAAAAATTCAATTTAATGTAATTTTTCTTATTAATTTAGAACACTGAATATTTGCGCAAACAATTCATCGTTGAAATAATTTAAATTTGCTTACATTGCAAATTAGAAATACTTCTCCATTCGTTAAAAAGTAAAATAAACGATAAATCTCGGTAGTTTTATGTAGCTCTATGCTATAAAAAGCCATTCAACAATACAAGTGCAAACCTGTATCAAAGTTAAACTTGTCGGCAATTTTTCTATTCTATATTTAAAAAATATACAATTGATAAAATACGTCAGACATATTGGACAATAATTTGTATATTAAAACGTCCGAGCGATATGTTATCGTTTAGTTGAAACGTTTTATTCCAGCGTAACCTTGTTATTACGAACAGAATAGCTTTTTTGTATCAAATTTCATTTTTCAGCCTTGCAAATTTCTTGCTTAGAAAGTAGTTAATTATTATAATTTATAATAACTTTGGAATAAATTGATTCAACTTTTAACTAAGATATTAAATATCTTTTATCATTAATTTTTTCATTCATTCAATTTTCATAAAAATAACTTAACTTATAAGATTCATAAATTTATAAGCCGAAATAATGTAAATGGGTTCGTTTTTTCTCTTTTCTTTTTATTTATTTATATCTAAAAAATATTACAAATACAGCTTTCTATATGCAATAAGCTTTAGCATCATATAAGATCGATTCATAAAATTTTAAGACTTAATTATTTCCATGTTTTTAACAAAAAAATTTATTGAAACAAAATCATAAATACTTCATTTCGTAATATTTCACATGTAAGCACACATATTTATAATGATATTGAGTAATAATACATTGGTCCCAATTACATTCTATTTATTATTATTTATTAAAGTATATTTGCATGAAAAATGTCTAAAAAAGATAGGACATATTTATAAATCATTTATTATTTATATTTTTAGATATTTATAATAAGAGTTCGATTAAAGGGACGATTTCTTAGATATTTATATTATTTATACTATATTAAAGTCATTTGAATTAAATGCTTCAAAATATTTCAAGTCCAAGTATAAATTACAAAAATACATATATTTCTTTATTCAAGAGAATATTTGAACTATTAACATTTCTTAAAAAGGAGTTTAAGAGAAAATTAAAATTAGATATTTTGCAGTGAAGAAGTAGTTCAGGTAAGAATTTCTTTGGGCTTGTCTTGTAAATATTTAGAATACTCAGACGTATTATAAGAATCATAAATATGATAATTTTTAAAAAAAACTACGCAATCACTTTATTAGCATTTTCCATGATATTTCATATATATATTCTTATTTAAGAATTTTCCAATTTCTGCGACGAGCCTTTCCAAATAATTATTAAAAAAAAAAAAAAAAAAAAAAAAAAAAAAAAAAAAAAAAAAAAAAAAAATATAAATTTGTCCTTAGTACGAGTATAAAATAGCAATAAAATAACAAGGTCTTATAATTCAGAGATTTCTCTGTGTATCCTCCATAATTCGTATTTAGCATTTAGAAATCTTAAGTCGTAATTACACATGTATGAGCTTGTTCTCAGAGTTTTGCCCAAGTTATAAATTGATAAATTTGAAAGTTATTTAGCACCGCTTACTGAAAAACGACAACTTAAGCAATGCCAACATTTTTAAACGATCGTACTCTTTATATTTTGAGGTGGATTAAACAAAATTTATACCTTAAACTGCCACAGCCAAGTATATAAAATAAGTCTTCTTGTCATTGAATTATCATTGTCTTGAGTAAACTATTATTATAATTTGAGAAACTCAATTACAAGACGTTGCTTATAAAATCCATTTCAATCGCCTGCCTATTCATGCGCAATGAAAATAATCCAATACCCTCCATTAACAATACACATCGTTATTAAATATCGGCTTCTAAAGTATAGTCAAACACACATTTGCAATGAAAACTATCGATAGTATATGAAACTGAAATTCAAGTCGCGTATCCGCATGACATATCCTTTCTAACATTCAACGCTGCGGCTATTTTTTGTCTTTTTTTTTTCTTTTTTTTTTTGGGTTTTTTTTTTGGTTTTTTTTTACATCCCGTTGGAACCGTTCGCGTGGCCGACGATAATCCGGACTCCGCTTCGTCGCTACGAGGAAGCTCGCTCGATCTTGGATGCAAGCCTGGTAAGTTGCGCAAACTTGAAGCAGCGCGCTTTAATATGTGGCGCGATCGAAAGCTCAACTCCAGCGGTGAGCAATAAGGGGAGTCAATAATTCGCGAATACGCGAGAAAATTTAAAAGCATCATCGAATACGTCGTCTCACGCCAATAGTCCGACGGCAAAAGCTCCGTTCAATATATACATATTTACAAACACGCGCGAAAACACGCACGCACACGCATGCGCGCGTGTGTATATATATATATATATATAGAGAGAGAGAGAGAGAGAGAGAGAGAGAGGCGTGTGTAATTAACGGTCCGTGGCCACACGTGCACGCTTTACTGCGATTGCGTTGGCGGCGCGTTAGATGTACGTGCTCACGGTGATGTGGCAGAGAGGTGGGGGGAGAGGAGGAGGAGGAGGAACGTCGAGCCCGAGTCGAGCAGGTGCGATGATTTGGGCAGCCTCGGCCTCAGCCGCGAGCTCTGGCTTGCTCGTGTTGTTGGAGTGAACCAAGAGGTGAGGATTTACGGTGCGAGGCTATAGTTTTCGTGCTCCCGTTCGAGCGACGTGCAGGTGACGCCGTCGCATTCTGTGATTTTACGTTTCGAAGGATTTCTGCGAAAAGAAAAAGGGTATTGATTTTGGATTAATAATAGATAAATAATCGGCGGCTTTGCTGGCTTTGCGCCCATCTATTCCCATGGATCGAGCGTTTCTCTAGACACGGGATTGACCATTGCAATGATAAAGTTTACATTAGGTTCAGCGCGCTCGTTACATACGTTTTTACAAATGCACAAACATTGCTAAAGAGGTCAGGCTACAGTAAGGTGTACCATTAATCCTAGAATCTCGATATTAATGCGAAAATTCACTACAGTAAGAAAGCATTACATACGAGCATTAAGTATTTATAGATTATAGAGTTTTAACAATTTTAAATTCTATATAAGAAAATGGGTCAGGCTACAGTAAGGTGTACCATTAATCCTAGAATCTCGATATTAATGCGAAAATTCACTACAGTAAGAAAGCATTACATACGAGCATTAAGTATTTATAGATTATAGAGTTTTAACAATTTTAAATTCTATATAAGAAAATGTACAATATATATATATATGTATATATATATATATATATATATATATATATCAACAAGTTTCATTAATCAATATTTATTTAACATTCTTTAATATAACTATAATGATTATAAAACTTGTGAATTTCACTTTCTCTCTCTCTCTCTCTCTCTCTCTCTCTCTCTCTCTCTCTCTCTCTCTCTCTTTTACAGCACCGAAAGTTTAAATACTTAATTCTCGATAAATGTTAAACTAAGCTCATAAATACTATGTACTCGTATAAATAATAAATATTTTCCATTCATTAAAAGATGCTTTACTGTAACATTATGTACTTCAAAGATGTTTCAATCAAATTAACCTAAATTGCACCACATTCGTACAATATACTTTTCTTTACAAGTGAATAACCATTTTTAATCTGTATATTTATAAGATTGATTTTAATACGAAAATTCAAGTAGATTTCAAATCAAACTACTTCAAAATATTTTATAATATCATATCTTTTAAAGCACTAATTTCATATTAATACGAAGACTTAATTAAAAATAATCGAGTTAAAATTGTCATAATAATTAAACGATTCATAAATGACATCTCCACATTTTTCTTAATACTGGAGCAGAATTATAAAATAATAAATAATGCAAATAATACATTTGAATTTTTTAATAATTCTTAATAGTTTTTCACAGTCGATCAGTGTATTTTAAATGTAATTGATTGTCTCTAATGTTCTTACAAGGTGCATTAATTTCTTACAAATTTCTTCATGAAATTCAATATTTGAATATATCAACCTCTCATTTGGCTCACCTAAAACAAGTTAAAAATCTTTACTAACAATACAAGAATTCTATGTAATTAGTAATCCAGTCAATATTGAAGAAAAATTATAGTTTAATAAGTATTTATAAGTACTATGATATTTGAAATGCCTGTGCATAAATAAATGTGTCTAATAAAACAATTAAAAGAAACATTGCTTCGGTCTTTGTTAACGTTCAATTAAATTAATGTTTTTAATTGTGCTTACTCATACAAATTTAAGTGCTAGAAAATATTAAGATTAATTATATTGCAATTAATGTTAAAAATTTTTATACTAATAGTGCTATTTGCAATATCTTGTTAAACCTTCAACGAATCACTAACTACAGTTAAACATAAAATACAAGCAATTTATATTAAAAGTATGTTTTCATTTTTAATAATTTTTAATAATTTTTTTTTCTAAACTAATAATAAAATTTGATTAAATATCTTTCAATCTAAGTTTTATCAGATATAATGTATCAAATATTATTGAAAAGCATTTTATCTTTTAAAATAAATAAACGCAATTTTCAATAGTCTTTAAAATAATGTTAAAATATTCTAAAGCACACGCTTTAAAAAGAATATTTAAAATTATAATAACAGGCTTTATGAAATAAATTCATTTCATTTCAAATATTAAACGTAATATATGATTTGTCATTAATATAGATGGATTTTTTAAATAAAAGCTTGCATTTCTGCTAGAAATTGTTTTAGCCGATAAGACAATTGTAATCGACTCAATATATTTATATATATTAATTTTGATTTAGCATTTATTTACGTATATAAACATACCTTACGCATACTTACATTCGACAGCTAAGCAAAAAGTTGTATTTTCATCGGCCGGCAATTTCGTAATACTATGTAAAGTCAAAGAGTTTGCATAAAATTTTGTAGGAAGAATATTAGAGAAAATGTTGGCAACCAACGTATCCACAAATGGGCGACTTTAATACGCATAAATATTTTCAGAATTTTATAAATTAGCTTCGAACAATTATAAATTCACTTTTTGAGATAATTAAAAAGTTAAAGTTTCTATTATTGATCTCTGCGTTTACTTTAATATTATATTTAAATATGAATTGCTCGAATTATGATAAAATTGTAAAATAGAATTTCAACATATAATTATTGCATTAACGAGTAATAAAATTTTGTATATTATTAATATATGCATATATATAATTTTGCTAAGATTTAAAAAAAAATAAATAATAAAATAATATTGCAATAATATGTAGAAGATATTTTTTAAAAAATTGAAATTTTCAACATAAAGTGGTTCAAAAGCTTGTAAGAAGTGAAAAAATTTATTGATATAGTTGTAATTGTTTAATACGTTAGAATTTGCAAAATTTCAGTATGAATACTGCAAAATAAGAATTGATTTAGCTTGATATACAAAAATTAGATGAGATTATTCAAAGTTCAATTATATGTGTACGAATGTATTATATTTTTATATATTATAAATAAAAAATTTTTTTAATAAAGTAAAATGCAGCAATTGCAAATTTTATAATAATACAATAAAATATTGAGGGTAGTATATTAATAGCAGTCTAGATTACATATTGGCATAAACATTTATAAATATAATTATCGCGTGTAACTGTCTTAAATTGGACATTAATGGCACCTTTAGAATGTCTCCTATAACGCAAAATAACATATAAATTAAATTAAATAATAAATCGTACAAGTCTTGGTTTACCGTTTACCATCTATATAGTAATAACAAAAATAGAAAGTACGATTCTCTCAAATTTATAAACTATTTTTAATTTTTCTTTTTAACATTCTGTATATAGCAAGTATGCGCTAAACTATGATTTTCATTTTCATCGAATTCTTATATCATTAAGTCAATCTTGCATAAATCAATAACATACGTACGTATAGCATTGACCTACGCGATTATTCAAAATCGAAATTCTAAGATCTATCGAAATTCTAAATCAATTGACTTATGCTTGATAATGAAGAATACCTAAAGTATCTAAAAGAGAAGAGAGAATAAGAGAGATATAGAACGTATTAAAAATTTCCACCAGCGCACTATATAACCAGGCCTTCCCTATGACACTTAATTGGATTCTTTAATCAAGCTAATTAAAAACAATCGTGAATAGAACAATAGGCATCTATATTTATGTACTCGGAAGAAAAATGTGCGTCTGTCGATTTATTCGTTATATTATGAATATTTTATTATACGCAGTATACGCGTTTATGATTTAATTGCTCGTGGATAGTAGTTAAAAAGTTTAATGACGTCACATAAAAATGCATTAAATATATATTTTACTCGTCAAAATTCTGAAATTCGACGAATTTCGAAAATTCATCATTTTATATTATTTAGATTGATCGGAATTTTACCAAATTCATAAAACATATAGTATCTGTAAATTCATTGAAATGTTCACGTTGAAGACTTAAGTGTTTAATCAATATTAGACTTTTGATTATTGTTTATTTTGGAAAGAACGTCATTATTATACCGATAGGTACATCATTAGTCTAGGCCTTACAAATGATTACCTGAACTTTTGTTTTACTAAGATAGCAATATATAGTAAGACTTAGCTGAGAATTTATTCATCTATATAAAATAATTTTTTCGGAACGGTAATCATACATAGTACTATTTTATCGCTTAATTACACATTTTAAATAAGAAAATAGACAATAAATAAGGAATGAACGAGTATTCGGAATAAGAATAGCAATTTACATTTTATAATTTTAAAGAAATTAAAATTTATATTAAACTGTAAATACAAGCTAATTCAAGCTAATGCGGTGGGGTGAGCGTGGGGGGGGGGGGGGAATGAGTATACAAAATTGAGTGTAATAGTCACTCAATTTATAATGAACTTGTGATTCGAGCAAAATTGAATGGATAAAAATGTGAAAAATTGATATTACTTTAAAATTGATAAATTTTATTTAAAAGCGATGCTGGCAATAATAAAAAAAAAAGAAATAGCAATAGTATTGAGAAGCAACGATTGTTTGGGAAAAAGCCACGATGTGACATCTTAAAGTTTCGATGAAAGATGAAATTGAATAAAAATTGAATTGGCATTAAGTGCGTAGCTTGACATCATACCAATCGAGAACAAGGAAAATTATATTTCTCCTTATATATCGAGAGTATCGATCATGGGGCATGAAATATCATTAAAAAAAATTAATAAAGTGATGAAGAGGCGAAGGGAGTAATGCAGCGGCCGAGCAATTCGTTCCTTCGTAGGCGCAGTGCATCTTGCTCCCGATCTTTCACTAAAAGAAACGCTTCCGATAAGAATAATCGTAAACTCGCGCACATGACGTTTATATCGCTCCCTCCCTTATTGACGATTGGTCTCGTCTCTCTCTCTCTCTCTCTCTCTCTCTCTCTCTCACTCTCACGTGCGTCTCGTGAAGAGAAGCCGGCCGTCGCCAATTCTTCCTTTCAGTATCGCTCGTCCCGCGAGATAAAACGCGACCCCGACTATTTTTACCGCAGTGCGCTTATTTTTTACGCACGCGATTTGAAAAAGAGATTGAGCGAGGGGGGACAAGGGAGAGAATTAGCGGCTTTGCGTTTCCGCGTTGACGAGACATTTCTGGTCGCGCGGCGCCACGCCGGAGCCACAAGTTCAAGTGCTTGTTGTGCATTCGCAAAGTTTTCGAGTGAGTTTAGTTGACGGCGAATAGATTCCGTTTTTTACGAACAAATGCGTATTGGTATTGAAGCTCTAAGCTGCCTGTATTGTGCTTCATCTACAATACGAGTGATTGTTTATCGACTTACTTTAATGCTACTTTATGAACAAATTACTCATCGTTTGTTTTAATATTTGTGAATACTCAGGCTTGAGTTGATTGGCTTTTTACTTTGCACGAGTATGACGCTGTTGTGTAAATCTTTCCAATAGTTAAAGTAATTTAATAATATTTCTGCTTTCTGGTTCCTCCTAATTCGATATTTTATTTGTTTATTTTCGTTAATTCATCTTGAATCGCCATTGATATATATATATATATATATATATATGTGCGCATTTGCACATTTAAATTTTCTTTCGCTAGTAAAAATAATGTCTCAATTTTTTTTTTCAACGTTCATTATTATTATTTTAATTCTATATAAGAATTTATCATTGAAGTAATATTTATCGTTATGCAGTGGCATTTTTATTACTTTTGTTGTGATTTGAATTGAGTCAAATTTCTACCTACTTATTATAGAATTACAGATCATTAAATAAATATACAACCTATACAACAATTTAAGTTTAATCGAAAATATCACTACTTTATCATGAGTATTTTTATTTACTGAATAACATTGCATCATTCAAAAGCCATTATCAATCTTATCCTAAAGTCATTACATAGTATTATATATACAGAAAGCATATTTAAAATTAAAAATATTTAATGTCTGTTAAGTGAGTCTTATTTTAACAAATAAAAACTTCAAATAAAAGTTTATTTAACGCAGTCTATAATTATTAATTTAATTGAATTTATAATAATTTTCATAATTTTAAAGTGAAAAATGACATAATTATGAAATTTCCATTTGAAATAAAGTCAATTGTATTAATTCAAATCAAACTTAACCTTCTCTAAATTACTATTTACCTAACAATTTCGATCTTTTAGACAATTACAGAGATATTTGTTACTCAATAAATATAATGTTATTTCATATAAGTGCACGTAATTTTGTATATGCGCGTGTGTGCGTGCGTGTGTGCGTGCGTGTGCAGAATAGATGTATTAGAAAACAATTATGATTTCGAATCCAGCAAATTATATAAATAATAATATTATTGTTGTAATTTAATAAAAGGCTAGAAAAATATTTCACTATGATCAGTTTATATTAATAAAAACGTGATGAAAAATTGTTCTGCAAAGCTGAAAAATAATCAATTAAAATTACAAACACTTTATAATATAATCATTTATCGGGAGTACCAAATGCTATTTTTACTTCTCAACGACGATGCTAAATGAACTAAGGAGTTTGGCTCAAGCGATGTTTAGCGAAACGATCCAACGATCTTTATCCTTCGATGGAAGCATTGCACTCAGCAAAAATAATACTCATAGTTAAAGTGTTTGTCATCCATTCTGAGAAAAGTAATTGTGATCTGTTAGTAGTATCAACAGAAAATGTTTAAAGAAGCCCTTAAAGTGGGCATCGCCCGAACAAGTACACTTTGATAGTTTGAACAAACGTTCAAACTCTCAGCAATTGTGCGCCCAGCATCACTAAGTGTGTGTTTTCATCTGTGTGTTTAGGAAGATATCGCCGGACATCCTGCCGTCGTGCTCGCAGGGCATCTTCCGGCAGCGATCCTTTCGCTCCTCGGCATCACAGGCCTCGACTTCGTGTCCCGCCGTGACGAGCGTCACAACAGCGTCTCACACCTCGGCCAAAAATACCATAAAAACATCCCTGGCCGCACTGTTCATCGACAATAACCTGCCGGGAGCCAAATTCACGCGCAGAAGCTCCGCGAGTCCACGGACGGTGAGGAAATGTTGATCCTTGCGAAAGTCATAAGCGCGCTGTTAATACGATCTGGTTAAACGAATCTCCCAAGTGCGCTTCGACTTCATGACGATGAAAATATATTATGAGCCATGTGATTTTACAAAATCGTACGCGAATAAGCTAAACTCTTTCATTCTAATACCACGGCAAATCGCAATTTCAGCTGCGCTAAGCAGGAGGACTTTTTTTTTTTTTTTTTTTTTTTTATAGAATTCTACTTTTTCAATCATCATTCTTTTAATAATTACTTTGAAATTACTTGTTCATCGGTTTATGTAATCGTATAATTTGTCCGTAATAATACGATAATACTGCAATAACAGGCTGAGATTATACGAGCAGTATAGACCTGCTTTCCTCTGCGAATTAATAATACGGATGAGTTAAGGATATTTAAGGATATTTCGACTATTTCTTAACAGCATGCTCCTTCGAATAATAAATGGGTATTATATACACTTTCATAAATGAAAAATGTCAAGATTAATAACAATATTATATATGAGTTGTCACTATATTTATGGTGCTCCTTTGGATAGGCGTGATTTAACGCTGAATATTTAATTTGAAATTTATTTTTAAACGCTAATTATATTGAATTTCTATATCAATGCATCGTAAATAAATATCTTCGAAACAAAATAACAAACGTTTAAAATAATATTGATGACATTTTTTGAAGAATAGTTTCAAGATCATAGCCTTTTTTTCTATAAGGAGGAATCAATCTTGAAGTGGCATTGGACAGAACAATAAGTGTTCAAACAAACAAAAAAAGAAAAACAAATCGTCAAGTGCGAATTCTATCTCTAATTTTAAATGATTTTCAATAATTTGAATATCTAAGTCTAATTTCAGTTTCACATCATTCACTCAAATTGATCTTGAAAGATTTCAAATTATTTTCCTGTTATTCACTCTGAATTTTCAAAACAAAAAAGAAAACAAAAACAAAAAACAAAAAAAAAACAATTTCAAAGTAATTCTTAAAGTGTCTTTAGTAATTCTTAAAGTCTCTTACTAGCCGAATGGTTTAAAAATAACAATAATCGCAAACGTAATAATCTATTTGGTTTTCTTTTTTACTTTTAATTACATAATAATATATTAATATTACATCAATTAATCATCAACAATTAAGTAAAACACCAAGTAATAATGATCGTCAGAATAGAAAATTGTACAATTTAATGTAGTTATTAAAATTCCAAGTAATTATAAATGTCTATGCGTTCAAATTGCCATAAAAAAGAAAGAAGATGAAAAAAATAAAAAATAAATTATCCATTAAGTATATTAATTTAATGGCTTTTAATAGATTATTAAGTGCATATTTTAATATTTAGGCCTATTGAACTTTTATCTAATATTTATTCTTTATCGAGTCATTCATAAATTTTAAGGTCACATGCTATTTCTTATTGTGAATAAAAAAAATTATTAAACTAATTTTTATCTTTAAAACAAAGATTTATAAAAGGTTAAGATTCATAAAGAGACTCTCTTTTTTTTACAATATTTGTTTATGAAAAGTTATTATTAATTCAAATAAAATAATAGATATGTAGTAGAATGAGTCTTAATTTTATTTTTAAATAGTTAATATTGACCAATTTTCGACATATTTACGGGCACATTTATAAATTTTAATAATCTAAACGAAACTTTATTGTGGATGTAAATTATTTAAATATTTACATGTATTTTTCAAATATACGATAAGCCTAGCAAATATTAACATTAAACAATTTATATTGCTTAAAATATTTACAACATTAATTGTAGAAATGCTTTCACAAAGTCTACTGACTCAAATTTCAACATTAATACGGTAAAGTTATTGTTTGGATTATAATTTTCAGTAGTCAGATTGACTTTCTGAATGCAATTGAGTCACGAAAGTTAACCCTCATTTTCATGCTTCTTCATACAAGATTTCTTTTCTCTCCTGACTTTATATGTTTATTTTTTTTTTTAAAAAAAAAAAAAAAAAAAAAAAAAAATATATCTTTTGACTTTAACGTTAACGTTAAGTAATAATACTGTATTACATTTTTGTAAAAAGAATCTGAAAGATTCGTGAAATTGCGTCGTTGCACAATTTGATATATTGAATAATTGATTCTCTTTAGAGGCTTAGTAGCAATGTCAAAGTATTTGTTTAAAAATTGTGGACAATAAATTATGTTAATACTGAGAGTAATGATGTTTAGGGATTTATGTAGATTGAAAAATATATATATATATATATATATATATATATTTACAGTCGAGTTCCTTATTGATATTAGATCGATGTAAAAGGTCGTAACGTGAAACGTTATTGTTACAGGCTACTTTGCAAAAAGTTTAGAAACTTTGGAAAAGCAAGACAAGATTTCTAAAACAAACGATAATTAGTATTGTAAGAACATGAAATTATATCTATGAGCCATAAAATAACAGGTGATTGGAACGATAATTATAATAGTCATATTAATGGATATTCAATAGACGAGCAAATATGTAGTAAATAAGCAATGATGGAGATCTATTTATCGAAAGTATAGTCATTGATATACTTTTATTTATCCTTATAATTTTGTCCGTGCGTGTGTGTGCGCGCGCGCTCGTTTGTACTCGCATGCGCATGTAATTATGTAAATAATTAATTTGTTATAAGACCTAGGAATCACTTCAATGTAGGAGTAAAATCTTTGTAACATTAGTAATAAGTGATCGAATTGAGAATACGTATGAACAAATTTCAAAGTAATATCTTATCATTAATATAAATTAACATTACATTATCTAAATTCATTAAATGCTCTTATCGCCGGCGAATTTCATTCGTGATTTTATTCGTTTAATAACGAAAACGGAAATACAGTTGTTTGTAGTCCGAGTCGCGGCTAACATTGTACTTGGGAATTCGATAAGTAACCGTTAACTCTAAGTATTTCGCGCTGAATTTGACAAACGGATACAAAAAAGAAATAAGTAAATAAAACAAACAAACAAAACAAAAGCCTCAAAGGCGAGAATGCTATGCCTCCCCGTTAAAAGCCATAAGATCTAACTGGATCAAGGAACGATCGATATTAATATTCTAAAGCAGCAGCAACAACAACAACAACAACAACAACAGCAGCAGCAGCAGCAGCAGCAGCATCCGCAACAACAACAGCAGCATCAGCAGCAGCAGCAGCAACAACAGCACCAACAACAACAGCATCAAAAGCACAAACAGAGCAGCCCCAATCGAAGCAGCTCGAGCTCAGGCTCGTCACACGGCGGCGCGAGCTCCTCGTCCTCGTCGAGTACGTCGACGCAGCGCAGCCGGCGCTCGCGCTTCGGCTACACGGCGCTGGCCAGCAAAATGGCGTCCGTGAGCACGACGGCGCCCGTGCTGGGCTGGCCCAACGCTAAGGACGACTACGAGCTGCGAGAGGTCATCGGTGAGTGGAACCTAGTGGGCCTTGGTCGCGTCGCTCCGGCCGCGGTGACGATGCGCCCGGGGCCCGCGCTTATACGGAGTCTTGGGGAGCAAGTCGGGGTCGCTTCGCCGGCGCCCGATCCGTCGCGTTTCTGTATGCGTGCGCACGCATACGCGACCGGGCTCACGCACACGGAGCCAGACCCGCGCATATGCTCGCCGTCTGCGCTTTGCCGCCACCGCCACCGCCACCGCCACCACCGCCGCCACCGCCGTCGCCACCACTGCCGCTATCCGTCACCCCGTCACCCCGTCACCGATGCCGTTACCCACACCTCCAACTTCGCGATAAAGGCACTTTTTCCTGTTCGGTGAAATTCACCCGGGCACCCTTCTTTCGAACGTCTCTTTAAAAATATATTCGCCGATGCCCGCCCTGGCATTTTGCTCCTATCCCGTTGTCTACGATATCCCGACCTCGATCCGATACGCATCAACCCCGGTACTCGTGTTTCGATCACCAAATAACGGACAAAATTTATTACGGTTTTATATTTATAATGGATAATATTGATTCTATCTGGCTCTCCCCTCCCCCCATTCTCATTCTCATTCTCACTCTCGCTTTCACTCTCGCTTTCACTCTTAATATCATTCTATCATTCTCTCTCTCTCTCTCTCTCTCTCTCTCTCTCTCTCTCTCTCTCTCATATTTCCGCTATGTCGCGATCTTATTGTTTACTTCATTTTGCCAGGTGTTGGAATGAAAAGCTTGATATTTATATTTGCACGTCTCTTCTTCCATAATGTTGTATGATGATTCTATTATTTGCTCTACCATTTTTCATTTATTGTTTGACATTTATTTGCAAAAACTATAAATAATCTTTTTATTTTCATTTCATTTCACAAAAAAAATTGAATAGTTACTAATACAAAGCCAATATAATTCAGGAGATTAATAAAAATAAGTAATTTTAAAGTGTTCTTTATGTAAGATAAAACAACTAGGCTCCATACAATTTTCCACTTGAAATTACTTATTCAAAAGGAAAATAAAAAATTTCCCATCATTTTTTGCATGCATTACTTTAGTTGTTTCTGTCATAAGATTTAAATAAATGAATTAATCACTAATCAATAGGTGATGAATATTTTTATGAGCGCATTATTGTATTGAACTTCAAAATATATAAAGCGGGTAGAATATATTTAATTAAATGCAATTAAAATGACTAACAAGCCCATTAGCATTTAAGCTATAATTTGTCAATGTATGTCTTTGCAATGTAGATAATTATCGTATAGAAATTTATATCTATTCATTCCTGATTATTCTGTAGATTATTATTATTATTGTTATCATTTATATTTATATTCCTTTAGCATATAACATTAATGTGTACATTATTTTTTAATTGAACAAGACAAATTTCATTATACTTTATCATCCATGTTTATCTTTGAATAATAATAATAATAATAATAATAATAATAATAATAATAATAATAATAATAATAATGTGTCATATTGTACAATAACATTATAATGGCAATTATACAAATATTACATTAATATGCCTTGAAATGCTAAGATAATCTGTTGAGATTTTTTTAATCTTTAATTAATTATAAATATATTCTCAATTTTCCACATAATCATTTATCACTGCAAAAATTATATATTTCTGATATTATGATAAAGATTATTTATAATTGTATGTTATTTATAGGAAGATTTTCATTCTATTTTACTTTTGTTATTCTGATTTGGTATCGATAGTCAATGTTGAAGGTTTTGCATCATAATATTCTTTTCATTATACATATTATTTTATCATTGGATCTGTAATCTACATGCAAATTCATTAAATTTCTTACCAAATTTTCATATTTCACAGATATCTTTATCAATTCAATTATTATTTAAGAATTATTTAAGAAATTAAGGATCCTACATTCATTCGATCTAGGAGATGGAAAATGTTTAAACCGAGTACTTTTTTTTAACAGGTGTCGGGGCAACTGCAATTGTGCATGCTGCATTTTGCATTCCTCGACAAGAGAAATGTGCTATAAAGCGTATCAATCTGGAAAAATGGAATACAAGTATGGATGAATTATTAGTAAGTTCACATATTCATTATTTTATTTAAACTGAATAATTTATTAATTTACATTTTTGTTGGGACATTTTATTATTAAATAATCATGATCGGATTAATGTTATGCACATGTTTCCTAATTTCTTATTTTAATAAATCCTAAATTTTACAAATATACAGAAAGAAATTCAGGCTATGTCCTCATGCAATCACGAAAATGTTGTAACATATTATACATCATTCGTTGTAAAAGAAGAGCTGTGGCTAGTACTCAGATTACTCGAGGGTGGATCTCTTTTGGATATTATAAAACATAAAATGAGGACAACTAATTGTAAACATGGAGTCTTCGACGAAGCGACAATAGCCACTGTACTTCGAGAGGTACTCAAAGGTCTTGAGTATTTCCATAGTAACGGCCAGATTCACAGGTTCGATAAGTTATTATTATTAATTGGTACGATTATACGTGCATTTATAACAAAGTGAAATACTTTTTTAAAAACATGTAGAGTCATATTACTTTAAAAGTTTATTGCAAAAACTGAATTAATTTTAAATGCTTTTTAATATCTAAATAGACCAAATACTATAAGAATTTGCTATCCTTATAAAAATTGATTCCTTATAAATTATGTTTCATATATTTTTGTAATATATTAATTTAATTCAGTGCTATATACAAGTTGTGAGGTAAATAGCATTTAAAAATTATACATCTAGATTTTTTAACATGCATGTAATGCGCATTGAAGATTACAGAGTATCTATAAATGTAATTTTTAAAAAGAATTGAAAAGGACTTTGTAGCTCGCGTTACATAAAATAACTATGATCTATCAAAATCATATTTGCGATCCAAAAGGTCTAATCAAATTGTATTATATTTCAGGGATATTAAGGCAGGGAATATTTTATTGGGTGAAGACGGGACAGTGCAAATAGCGGACTTTGGTGTAAGTGCTTGGTTGGCTACTGGTCGTGACCTTAGTAGACAAAAGGTTCGACACACGTTCGTTGGTACACCCTGCTGGATGGCGCCTGAGGTCATGGAGCAGGTGAGAGAGGAAAGTTACATTCCACTTTCTTAGCCTGTGCATTTCTGTCATCCTTGATGTTCATTTTGCTGCTGATATGCTAATGTGCTCTTGATTGTTACTCGTTAGCTGTAATTTTTCAATTCATTTTCAATGACTCATTAGTGAAAATGGTGAATAAATCTTTAGCATAATTAGATAAGCTAAGCGATTGTTAGCAATTAAATATCATGCATGACTGACTTAAATTTATTTTAATCTGGAAACATTAATGTTTAATTATGCAACGGCTTTGAGGGTTATTATGCATTTGATTATTATTTCTTGTTCTTGCTAGTATCAGGACTGATAAAAAAAATGTCATTTTTATTAATATGCTATTAAAATCTGCTTTTGTGACATGGCTTAATTTTATCGTGCAAATTTATTTTATACATATATATATATATATATATATATATATATATATATATATATATGTATATATATGTATGTATTTGAGTGTATGGTAAAATCATTTTTATAAATAGATGAGACATAAAATCTATCTGAAATTATACCTTAAAGAACTTTTACTTTACCTAAAAACTTCATTACAAGTGGTATGAAAAAAGTAAAGAAAAAAAATTAAAAAAAAAAAAATTCTTATATTATAAGAATTTGTTTCCCATAAATAAATAATGTTATCAATACTTGAAAATATTGAAAATTAATAGTCATAAAAATCTAATTCATTTTACTAATTAGTAATGACTGTTATTATTGTATCTTATTTTATTAGTTGTTTTAAATACGAATATTACATTATATAGAATTTTATGTCTTTCTAAAAGTACAACATAGACTCGGCATACTCAAAATAAAATAATATTGACATATTAATATGTAAATCTTATATTCACAGCTCATAAATTACGTTTTTAAATAACTGAAATTACGCTTAAGAACATGCCTGTAGCATTTATTATACAATTGCATCGTTATAAAAACTGATTGTAAAAATAAAACATTTAAATATCTGAAATAAATCATAATATTGATAAGGGCACAATGTGAAATAATAAAATTTGAAAATGCTTGTTTCAAGTTGTAAAAGCAGTATTTTCCCCGATAATCAAAAAATCTATGAGTTTTTAATTCGTTCGCTAATTTTAAGAAATAATTTTTAAAATATCGATGCACAGTGGGTATAATTCAAACCGTGTAACTGTCGAAACATTTTAATTTTTATAGGATCACGGCTATGACTTTAAGGCGGATATTTGGTCACTCGGCATCACGGCAATCGAAATGGCGAGCGGCACCGCACCTTATCACAAATTTCCACCCATGAAAGTCCTTATGCTCACTTTGCAAAACGACCCGCCAACCCTCGATACCGCTGCTGACGATAAGGACCAGTACAAGGCTTACGGCAAGACTTTCAGAAAAATGATCGTTGATTGCCTACAGAAAGATCCGACCAAGAGGTAATAGTAGAGAGCCAAAAGGCAATTTTATGCTCCATAAGTGTTTTATTTATGTATGTAGCTTACAATATTGTCAAACGCAATATAATTTCTCAAGAATGTGTATATGGGTTTTATTGATTTATTTATTATTTTTTTATTTATTTATTAATGCACGGTACATATAAGAGATAAATTGCATTTTATTAAATTTGTCGCCTTGTACGTACGTACGTATCAATCGTTTTTATGTCAATTTTCAATAGACTTAATGCGAGCAATGTAAATTTTTTCAGACCAACGGCAACTGAACTATTAAAACATCCGTTTTTTAAAAAGGCCAAGGATAAAAAATATTTGCAGCAAACTCTTGTCGCCATTGGACCAAGTTTAGAAACTCGAGTGCAGAAGGTAACGGAATTTATATTGCAAATAGAAATTTGTCTATTGCACTTTTAGATTAAATCCAAATGCAACAACGAATAGTTCTTCATTAAAACGTTGTTATCAAAATTCGTCCCCATAATTAAGGTGTACGTATGTAAAAAAAAAAAAAAAAAAAAAAAAAAAAAAAAAAAGGAAATATTAACTAGAAAGAACTTAACATAAAAATACTTAATGAATTAAATTTTTTTCATTATGAATATTACAATTAAAATTCTTCTTCCTAATGGTGAGAGAATCTCGTAAAATAGTTATTATTTTAACAGCGTTACGATGTGCTTGTCTCTTTAACTTTCATCATTAAGCATCTCTCTTTAACATTCATCGATTAAGCAGCGAATGAAACATTTTTATGCAGGCATCAAAAAGACAGCCCGGCACTTCTGGACGACTGCACCGAACTGTCACGGGTGAATGGGTTTGGTCATCCGAGGAAGAAAGCGGTGCCTCCAGTGGCGAAGAAAGTAAAGAAGCTCTGCCGATCAATCGGATCGAGCGTGACAGTAGCGACGATGACGGTCCTGATCAGGATGACTATTACGGACAAGACAAAACTCCGGTCAATCGTAACGCCACACCAGCTGATAAAAATGTTCCTATCAATTTAGTGCTCAGACTTCGGTATGTTTACGTCGAATTTTCAATAATTCTATTCTGCTTGGATTGTTTTCTCTTATTACAACACTTATGAAATACTTACAATTATACCATACTGTTGCATTATTTAAATAATCTATATCAAAACATTATTATTTTATTAATATTAATAAAGGTGAATAAGCGAAGAAATGTCGAATAAAGATGTATCTAAGTGGTAATCCTACGTATCAACAATCGAGGCAGTAGCATATTTTTCGAGAACAACATTGAATTTTTAAAAAAATTTCATAGAATATTCTTGAGAGTCTGTATTTCCAGAAAAATTTGTTATTTTCAAACGATGACTCTTGAACTCTTAATTAATTTCCTTCCTGCATATTATTTGTAAAAAGATTTACATATATTTATATCTAAAGAAAATTAATTTTTTCATTTATTCTGCCTATAAATTATACGTTATGAGATGAATTTTTTGCAATGTAAATTTAGAATACATATTGGTTTAACATGCATAACTTTAACTTTAACTCATAAAATCTCTTAAAAATATTGAATAAATATCTAAATGAAATTTAAACAATTGTTTATAGTAACCAGAAACGAGAACTAAATGATATTCGATTTGAGTTTGCCGTGGGTGTTGATTCAGCTGAAGGTATCGCAGCCGAGTTGGTTGGTGCTGGTCTTGTAGATGGCAAGGATATTGTTGTGATAGCAGCAAATCTTCAAAAACTTATCGACAGTGCGGGACAAATTCGTACTGTTACATTTCCTTTGGTAAAGTTGTATTTTGTGAATTAAAAGATTTTGTTTATTTATAAAAATCACGTATTTGTACTCTTTTTTTTTTTTTTTGACTTGATCTAAGTCATTTAATACTGTACATTTAATTCCTACATGCACATATTAACTAATTAAGTAAATAACGATATTAAAGATTGTATTATTCTCTTTTTCTTTAGAATTCGGGACATGCTGTAAATGAAATACCAGATGACAAAGCGTTAATTGGATTCGCTCAGATCTCCATCACGGATTAAATGTTATTTGATGTCTTACAATGTACGGTTTTTTTTTTTTTTTTTTTTTTTTTTTTTTT